TTGCAGTATGGATTATCGGACGACAATTCTCTTAAAACAACATTGGATCGAATCTTCTTTGATAGTTAAGTTTTTCCGGTTCTCTTATTAGAAATTTCGAATTTGTTTGTCACAATAGTTAGTAATTTTTTTTTTTCATATTCGTGTTATTATCGCTTGAAATTATGGTGTATTATTTATCAGTAGATTAATATATCGGTCATGTATCACAGAAAAAATAATTCACTTAACTGAAATGAAATGACGAGCATATTGTTTCCCAACTTATTGAAACAAAGATCACAACCAATTAAATTTGTTAAAATCTTAGCTTGGCATCAAAGTATGTTTCCCAACTATGGGATTATATTGCATGTATCTGTGCCTTCTAAGCAAAGCAACATTTTGAATCAATATTGCGAGTGCCGCTTTTATGCCTCCTGAGACGATCTGAATCTTTTAATCTTTGAACCATATATTTCCCGATGGACCCCTCCTTTTTTTCATGAATTGTTTCTTTTTCCGGTATCCATTTTTCAACAGCTGACCTTTTCGTTAATTAATTCCATGAAATAATTACACAAAGAAGAAGAAAGTGACAGAAAAGCTAGCTCGACCGACCATATTAAGTGGAGCCCACCACCACCACCACCGTGAACCACCACCACTTCCGCCACCCAAAACTACCCACCGGCGCATTATAGTTATACCCCCTTAATGGTATTTCTACAAAATCATTTCTACTATTCTTTTTCAAATCTGTATGTTTTGTTATTACGAAAAACTGGGGTGACAAACATCCATCCAAACTTTTAAAGGAAAAATATCTTGCCAAAAAAAACAAAAAAAAAACAAAAATAGCGATAGATTTTTTTATTTTTATTTTTTTGAAAAAGTACCTGTTTATTAAGAAGTACTTATGTTATTACATTTCAGACTAGCATATGAATATGATGAATATGATGGTCTACTATAATGAAGAAATCTTATAATGTTACCAGTCTACTACATGTATGTATGAATAGACCAATTGATGAGAAAATCTTACAATAAAAATATATATTTATGGAGATGAATTAATGGGAAAATAGACCAATTATTGAGACACTATATATAAAAGTACGAATGTGATATCTTGTTGCCTTTTATCTACAGTAGGATTGAATAATTTTTGGTTTTCCACTTAGGTTTCTACTGTTTCAGAAACATTGGAATTTTGTCATTTCATTCCCTGAAAGGCGGAATGTCGGATTTGAATGTACTGTTTTTTTTTGGTTTCTTTTTGCTCTAGATATAATCTCGAAAATTCAACAAATCCTTTTCAAGAGCTACTTTAAAATAAACTAATTATTCTTTTCCGTTCTAATTTTAAAATAGTTTTGTTAGTTCATTTTAGGACAAAGAGAGTATTAATTATGTTCGAATATTAAATCTCCAATACTACTTCGATTAATCAAGAACGCTAATTACCACATGACGGTTTTGTACTTTTTCATAGACCATTCTCAGGTATTCGGGAGAAATTTAAAAAGAAAAAAAAAAAAAGCGAGAGCAATTTTAAATTAAATAAATTAATCTAAGCGGATTGTACTTGTTTGACGGGCTTTGAAGTGTTATTGTCACATTAGTTTCCAGGAAATTTCCATGTTCCCCTAACCTCTTCTTTTGTTACATAAAATAGTCTTCAATTGACTAAAGATCCACGAAGAGATTTTTGGTTAGATTTGTGGTCCAGAACTTACATCATTCAAACAAGGTTCTAAGTTTTCTTGAAGAATTAGTGTAGAGAGATTGGTCAATTTGATCAAATTGCTTCCCGATAATAGTTTTAGGACGGACGGAGAACTTGAAAAGCCTCGTATTCATTCATTCAGGATGATATATTTTATATGTTCAACCATACAATTTGGTCTCAAGAACTCCAAGAGATATGAAATCTATACACTGTTCACTAGGCCAATCTACGAGAGCAAAAACCCTTTAATTTAGTGAGTTTCATTGCATACAATTCCAAAACAAATGTGGGGGAACCGACTACCCTTTTGCTAGCATTGTCGTAATCTCTGAAATGCATGCATCCCCAAAAGTGTAATAATTAGGCTTTATGACGCAGTGGTATTATTTTCATCACTATGATAATTGTTACTATATCATAAAAATACTTTCGAATCTCTTTATAAGACTTAAATGTCGTTTAACATTACTTATACATTATAAATTAAATAAATCAGAATCGTAATTAACTACTAGTATTAAGCAGATAATATGTACTAGAAACTAGCAACACGTATGTGTCAAATTTCGGTCCTTACAATCTTAGTTATGGATTGCATTCAAATTAATGTTCAAAAAGCTCATGATGGTCGATCAGCATGCATGGGTTCCATCGTGTATGGTTACTGTTCCCAGAAATTAGACACTTTTTATTTCCAACATTGACTACTCTTATGATGGTTCCCCTTCTGATTTGGATGTGTTTGATCTTGCATTTTATGGGTTTTTGATTTTATTCCAATGTACATTATCGCTAGCTATAGTTAGATTGTCGAATGGAGAACGCCTGTGGTGTCACTATTATAACCCGCCCCGAAAAAAAGTCTTTTTCCTTATAATTTAGTAATAATTACATTACCTCTATTTTATTTGAATAATCTACTTCATGGGATTAATCAAACTGGCACACCATGATGAATTGGTAAAATGAGATGAACATCAAAGAATAATTGAAACACGTATAGCTTTGGATTTGGTTGGATGATGAAATAGTTCGACCTCTGTGTGTATGTGTGTGAATGTGTGTGTGTGTGTGTGTGTGTGTGTGTGTGTTTTCATCATTTCATGATTCAAGTTGGACGAAATTTTATCAGAGATACGTTTCTTTCTACAAGTAACACGAATTTCCAAATGTTTCTCTAATAACTTTCTTTGATATTAGTTGTCCAACTGAGTGTTAATTTTCATTCATCTTGCAGATTACAGGAGATAAAGACGTTAACTTTTTCTACTTCTTTTTTAATGCAAGAAATAATTATTGGCCACGGATTTTCCAGGAGAATTATCTTATCTTCCGTTCTGTTTTTCTTCTTTTTCCTTCCTCTTCTTCTTTTTTTTTTTTTTTGAAGCTTCCTTTATTAGTATTGGCCAAATTATAAATTTTTTTTTTTAATGAAATGATTAAATATCATGTCTTCTTCTTTCTCAATGATTATAATTTCTTTTTCCTTTGGCACACCATATATATTGATTAATAAAAATCTACAACATCCAAATTATTTTATAATTGTGATTTATGAATAAGCATTTTTGGTTGTTTATAATATAGAGAATTATTGGTTCCAAGAATGAAATCTACAGGAGTAGGGTATATGCAAGAATAAATAATATATCAAAGAATAAAGTGATCATCCCACAAAATTTAACAACATGCTATAGAGAGAAGTCAGCATACGACTGCATTCCTTTTCATAAATGAAATGGAAAATGGAATCCGTTGCCTACTAGACAATTGATTTTTGCAATTTCTTTATTTGAAATCTTCACTAACATCTTTCAATCGACAATAACACAATAGTTTTTTATATTCATGGAGGGTTTGGTTGATTGAGATTTTCTTTTCATACACATAGTTAAGTTTTGTACACACAATCTACCTTTAATTTATACAGTATATATAGTATTTAAACCTCCACTAATTAAAAATAAATTTTAGTCGTAATAAAAGTGACACAATGCATACATGTGTAACGAAACCTAAATTTAATTCAAAAAATGAAATGTTTATAACACAATATATACAAAACTTTAACACAACGGCTGACTACTGAACAACAATAATAAATTATACTTTCTTCGTATTAAAATTATAATTGATTTGAAATTTTATTTTTCAATTTAATATTAAAACAAATAAAAATTCAAACTGGACAATTATTTAAAACGAAAGTGTGTATATGCACTGCGTTTAGGAAACAATATCTGCCGGTCGCGACTAACATTACTGGGTTAAGCATTCTAGCAAGTAAAACGATCAAACAGTAGATCGTCATATGATAATTATTTGTTACATGTCATGTATATGCCCATAGAATTGAGACGCAAACACGAACATCTGTAGCATTTGACGACATGATTAGATTCAAAACAGTGTTTGAGATTTTGGTATCATCATTATTTAATTTTTGTGTCTTTTTTACTTCAAATGACTGAATTAATTCTGAATTCCACTAAGAAGTAGCTTTCAATTCCAGCCCCAATGAAATCAACTTGCAAACAATAGTGAACCAATAAAAATTTGGAATTGACTCTTGACTTAGTAAAACTACATACATTTTAATTACCTCAGCAAATGATGCAACACATTACGAATGATCCAATTAATTAATTAATCTGCAGTCCTTTTGGTTTATCTACTTGACTGACTGCTCAAAAGATTGAATCGAAGAGATAAAGTACGTGTAAAATATTTGCGAATTCGATCACTTTATTTATATATTAATTAAAAGAAGAAAAAAATATCTCATTAATTGAATACTCTCCAAAACAGAGTCCGGTCAATACCAATTTACTGGAAAGGTATAGAATACTGCCATGATAGAAACCGATTCTAACAATGTTTATGAATGGGGAGAACATGTCATTGTTGAGTGGAAAAAGTGAACCCAATTTCAATTAATTAATCTCATGAGATATACGTTAGGAGTTAACTCCTAGTCAATAGCGATTGTGTAGTTGTGTGACTTGAGTAAATAGTTTGGTTTTTGTCTCACTTTTTATACATGACAAATGTGTCATATCAAATATATAATGTGATTTAGTTAATTGTGTCTAGTAAGATAAACACGACTTACTATACTTAATATATAAAATTTGAGACAAATGATCTCTTCTTAATTCAGTGATAGTTTTTGTCTAGTAACATAACCTTACCAAAAAAAAATAATAATAAGAAAAAAGAGGATAGATATATCAAGGATAAAATGAACGGTAAGGATTGGAAATTAGTATCCAATGGAATTATTGATGTGGTAGTGGACTTCTGTTGAAAGAAGGGTGTTGTGTGCCAACTACATAAAAAGGCTTCCTTTGGTTGGAGTTTCTTGAGAGAGATTAAGAAAAAAACACATAATTTTGGTGGCCCTTAAGAGAGGGTCTACTCCAACTACAAACATTGAACCCCTCCATTTGGTGTAAATATGCTTTCTTCAAAAATCCCTTCTTATTCCATTTTGCCTTATTGCCTCCTAGCTAGCCTGTAAAGATTACATTCATCAACCTTCTTCACATAATTAATTTTGTGGACCTTTCTTTCTTCTTCGTTCCTTCACTTCCATTTTCTGTACTTTGCATAAATTCCAATCCACTGTTGAACCATATTGGATTTTTTTTTCAGGGCCTTTTCTTTTGGCTTTTCTTCATCATGAATGCCTTCTTAACAGAAAGCCTGCCAAAAAACAGAACAAGTATTCTAACTGTAGTTAGAGCCATTGAACTTGTGATCATCTCAGCTGCAATAATCTACTCTATCATAATGTTCAAAGGGGCACAAGTTGTTTCTTTTACTTCCTCATCATGTGATCTTATGCTCTCGAGTTTGCGAAAGCCGGTGTCCATCTTCAAGGGCTTGTTGGCATCTCCTCTTCAAATCATCATCTTCATGAACTTCATTGTGCTACTCATTTTAGTTTCCTCCTCCTTCCACCACCCTGAAATGGACAACAATGACAATGAAGATGGTGATGCAGACAGAAATGTTCATGAAGAAGATTTTGATGATTTGCACAGTACTTTGTCACCATCTTTATCTCCACCTGCAGATCCACCACCAGTGGAGATTGATCGCGAAAAGGCTAAAATTACCGCGGCTGCAGCAAAAGCAGCCGCGGCGACAATGAAAACGACAGCAACAAAAGGCGATTCTAACCGAGGTAAAATCACAAGTTCCTCTGCAAAAACTCTGAAGCAGCAGCAAGATACAGTTGAGTGGACAGCTTCTGAAGTTCATCAGCAGGCAGTTTCTTCTGATTTTCCGAAACTGACAAGAACTAAAGAAATCAGAAAGGAGCAAACAACAGTTGATGGAGGGAAAAACAGAACTGCAGGGCTGCTAAAAAGGGAAACAAACATTCCCAAAGTAACTAAACATTACTCTTTCCAAGCTGCGGCTTTTGCTGATTTACCCAAATTAGCAGAGGCTAAAGAGATTAAGAAGGCCTATTCACTTGACTCTGCAGAACAGGTCAAGACCCTCCAAAATCCTCAAGAAACAGCAACAACAACAAAACATGGGCAGAAAAGCAGAAATGAAAGCCAAAATCAGGCCAGAAAACAGCCGGAAAACGAACATCATTGGGATGATGAAGACGATACAATGGAGGCGACATGGAGGGCAATCAGCGGAGGAACAAAACCACAGGAGAAACAACTGAAGAAAAGCGAAACATGGCCTCAAAAGCACAAGTTTGTTCTGCCCAATGAAGGGCATTCAGAGGAGATTTATAAAAACATGGAGGAAGAATTGCCAGAGCCATTATTATCATCATCAGTCTGCTCAAGTCCAGTAAAAGAGCTGAGGAAATCAATGACATTCAATGATACGGTAACAATCCGACGCAGGGGAGGACTAATTAGGAAAGACCCATCAATGAATCTTGAAGAATTCAACAAAAAAGTTGAGGCATTCATTCAGAATTTCAACCATGAAATGAGGCTTCAAAGACAAGAGTCTGATCAGCGTTACTTAGAAATGATCAAACGAGGACTCTGATAATTAAAAAACAAAAAAAAAAAAAAAAAACAATACTCATTTCCTTTCTCTGTAGAGTTTCACTTTTTTTTTTTTTTTTGCCAGTTTAGTCTTGTATGAGTCCTCTGTGAGTTAGTAAATTGTTAAATTTTGTAAAGAGTTCTCTGCTGAGCATTAATGGTGTTCTCTCTGTACAGATTTTGACTAAGGAAACTTTAGTTCCTTGTAAATGGGGTTGTTGATTTCTTCTGGAATTTGCATAATTTGTTATTTGCAAGTTGGAATTAATCAAGGTTATGATCATCGTCCCACTGTACTTTAAAGTAAATTTTCTTGAAATGATTGCAGAGAAAAAAAAAAAAAAAAGAACAAAACAAAACACAAAAGAAAGAAGCAATATTCCTTCTTCTGGTCTCTCTGTCCCATCGAATGGAACCTCAACTCAAGGAAAGCAGGGGAATTTGTACGGATTCCCTACGGCATATTTGTACTGGCAAAGTGGCAAGAGCTATTGGGAAGATACTTTTATTCTATTTTTTTTTATTTTTTCTAAATTGTGAAACATTGGATATCTCTTTTTGCACATACTTATCTAGTATTTAATTCATCTCTTTGCATCGTAATTTTTATATTTTGCACCCTATTGATTTATTACTCATCGGGACAGTTTTAATTTTATTTCTGGAAAGTGATTTAGAAACTCTGGATGTAATATACTCCCTCTGTCCCAAAATTATTGTCCAGTTTGAACTTTTATTTTTAATTTAAATTATACTAAAAGAGTAAAAGTGCAATCTAAATTGGACAATAATTTTGGGATAGATGAAATAAAAAAAAAACAATAGAAAAGAATGTTTTGATTGAATCATTGATACTTTCACTACATAGGTTCATAGCTCAAACTTGATGACAACAGGGCATACTTGATATTAATTCAATCATTCTGTTACACTAGTAATGAATGATACTCTAACAAAATTAAACTGCTGGTGAATTCTAACAATAGAGATAACATCATATGTATGCAAAAATAAATTAAAAAATGATTACCCATCCAACATCTTGGAACACGCTCCTAATGAAATTATCATCCCTCTTGCCATTTTACATATAAGATTCACGCAATAATCTAAGTTTCGATGGATGAGACAGCTGGCTAAAATATTTAAGATTGCTCCATTTCCCATGGCGAGGTTCGAACCATCGACCTATGAGTAAGGGTTGAAGAATTCCTTCCACTCCTCCACAACCAGTTTGGTTATTACATATTCTTCTTTTAAAGTAATATTCAAGTTAAAAACAGATTGTTAGTATCAAAATGCATAATTGTTAGGACACGGTAATGGCTTGATACTTGGGCTTCATCTGAGTGATCCAATTTCATTCATATAAAATCCAAAATTTTGGGGCCTTTTGTCTTATTGATGAAGACTGTTATCCCCTGAATGACTTGCCTCTAATTCTTGGCTTGTGGGTTATGATCTTAAACTTTGGAAATTAAGTAAAATTTGAACATTCAACTGAAAAACGATATTAATTTGCACGATACATATTAACTAATGGACGAACCTCATTAATTAGCTGACTTTCTAATAGTTTGAAATCATGCTTTACATAATCATTAACCCTTTCCTTCTGCATCCATCTCTGTCCTTCCCGCTATTCATTCATTGTTTTGTCTGATTAAAAGGGGATTTTGCTAAAAGAGAATCAACCAATTCGACGAATAAGTAAAAAAGTGTTCAAATTCAAATAGCAATAATTTATTTCGAAAATGAAAAAACAAAAAGGAATTACACTTGGCTGATGTGAGAATCAGAGCTTTTTTCAACTCTGGATTTTGGATCCTTTTGTATTTTTTGTGCTTCTCTCTCTTCTTTTTTTCATTTTTTTTTCTTTTTTACATTTAAAAGTTGTGATGATTAGATGAAGAATTTTTGCAAAAGGCTTATTGCAAAACGGAGCTCGAGAAAGATGGCATACATCACTATCAACCAGCACTTATTAGGAGACTCTTAGGTCATCATGCATTTTACCTGTTCGGAGACTCTTCATTATTTCAACAAAAACTAGACTCTTCATTATTCTAACGAAACTTATGCGAAGTAACATGAAATCTGACGGTGAACGGTTGAGTTGAGAAAGTCCGTTATTAAAATGGTAAGATAGGTGACAGACAATTACTATATCTTAATTATATACTCTCTCTGTTTCAAAATTATTTTTTAGTTTGAAATTTTATTTTTACAATTTGAACTAGAAATGAAAATTCAAACTGGACAATAATTATAAGACGAAGGAAGTACATTCTTTGTAAAAATAACTCGTACTTGGCATATATTCGGAATTTGAAACAAATTTGAATCGCTTAAGATAAATGTATACGTGATATTTCTAAACCTAATGGTAAGTGTTTTGTATTAGTATACATAGGATTTATTTAATTAATCTTCATATTTCAACGAGATTACTAATAAACATCTGTTTTAAGGCATATGAGTGAAAGTTCAACATTAAATTTGTTTATATATATACTAGTGATGTCTGGTCGCGCATTGCCCAATATGTTTGTAGATCTTAGAAATATTTGTATCTGAAAAAAAAAATTTTGTATTTGGCTCAATATATTTTAGAAATGTTTGAAGAATTTAGAAATGTTTTATAAGTGTGATCATAGAAATGTTTGTATTTGGCATAAAAAGAAATTGTATTTGGCCCGGTACGTTTTAGAAAGGTTTGAAGATTTTAAAAATATTTTATAAGTGTTACTTCTTAAATATAAATAAATTGATCAAATATATGTCTTGAAGTAAATGCAGACAAAATATAAAAGTATCCTAATAAGTTTAAATATTAGTAAGATGATTTATTAATGTTCTCCATTGGTTGTACCAAATCAATACTTAGTTTTGGAGATTTATAATAGCTTTGTAGTAAGCTTCCTCCAAAAGGTATACGCTTAATTGTTGGAACTATTTCTTCCAAAAGTTTATAGATAGTAAAATATCAAAAATATGATTTTGAAACTGGTTAGTTAATTGTTGTAACCGGTTGATCACAAATATGAGAATGAAAATAATGTAAATTTGCATAGGTTTCAAGTTATAGAACTCACCTCACCATGACAAATAAAAAAAAAAAGAAAGTAAAAGATAGCTCATTAAGAATTGAGAATTTTTTTTTTTTTCTATAGGTAAAAATGATGTATAAAAAACACAAATAAACGTAGAAACATCATTCCTTTTCTCTCCACCTCAAATTCATAAAAGGCTTCCCCATAAATTAGTTAGAAGAAGCGACCTGAACTATTTATATGATGAGGAATTAAAAAAAGTCCAAAAAACAAATCTAAAAAAGTATATTCTTGAAAGCTCGAACACAAAAAAAAAATGCGCTTCATTTACAAATAAAATAAAATAATAATAATAATAATTGGTCAACTGGGAGTATGAAACAAAATCAAAAGCAATTAGACAAAGAAAAAACACACTTCATAACTGACCATATACAGAAAAAAAAAACAGAGACTCCATAATTAAAAAAAAAACGACTCTAATTGAATGAAACATTAAAAAAAAAAAGAAATTTAAAAAACCACACTATGTAACAAAAACCCAATTAATCAATTCAATCCAAAACTAAAATCATAAAAATTATAGGCTAACTAACCATATAAGAAATCACATCATATTACTTGACAACGGTTACGGTAGCTATAACGGATGGACGCATAAAAATAATAGTAATAACACTATCATTGAACAGAAAAAACAAAAAATAATAAAAGCCAAACAAATGTTTTGTGAAAATAATCATTTAAATTTTAATACCTGTAATGGCACCACCACAATGGCCGAAGCAAGATCAATGAAATTTTTTTTTCCTCCTTTGTGTTTATATAGAGAGGTAAAGAGAATGTTTTTTGAAGTCGAAATTTTATCCGATTAGGATGTAATTGATCATCACTAATGAAAAAATTGAACATGCTAATAGGAAAGGAGTATTATTTACCACATATTCTCAATTGATAATTGATGAGGAATTTCTTTTTTTTTCTTTTTTTTTATTGTGGAGAAGAGATTGATTAGAAAGTTGATTGTCGTGGAGATGGGGATGAAGATTTAGGTTTTTTATGAACTCGTGGTTTTTTTTTTAGCGAAAATAGGAGGTGGAGGTGGATTTGGACTGCATTTCCCTTTTAAGTCTAGGAAATATGTAAATAAAAATTTATTTTAAAAATATGATGTGGAAATGCCACATGGCAAATGGTGGTACTTTCTCTTAAATGTGGTTTTTGTTTCTAATATAGTAAGATATATGTATATATATCGATGGATCATTACATCTACGCTAATGCTTGTATCTTTGGATCAAACCAATAGATTCTTCATTATTATTGCATTTGCAATCATGCAATTCTCTTGATTAATTAAAGTCAGAGATTCCGACGTAGTGAGAGTAGTGCGTTCTTTTTTCTTTCTTTTTTTTTTTTTTTTTAAACTTTTGCAATCGTCATTTCCACCAATTGAATTGATACTTGAATTCCATAAACTCTACAAAAACACAACAAAACGACGAAAGAACCGCCGCCAAGTGGAGCCACCACCACCATTTTCCTTTCGCCACAACATCTCCAAAACACCAACATATCTCGTGCTGTGATGCAAATCAATAATGATTTTACAGCACTGTTCCGTAAGTTTGGGGCAATAATTATGATCCTAATTTGGCCGCCCCCTATAGGGCTACAAAGCCTACATACTATACAACTTTGAACTTGTGTGTCATTTTCTATATAGGTTATACATACGTGTTAAGCTTCATCCCACATAACATGAATATCCTTGTACTGACAAACAAACACAACATACATGAACATGCACACTCTAGGGTTTAGGACAAATCATCTTTAGTTAGGTTTCTACTGTTGTAGACTTTTATGGAACATCTATGAAACGTTTTTTTCAGCACGTTCTTTGATTGGAATTTTTTTAAAAAAAAAAAAAGAAAAGAAAAGAGAAAATGTAATAAGAATGTGGAAAAATATATTGACAGGTTAAGGTATAGATGAAAAAACGAATCGATTGCAACTCTTGTTACATTGGGGGGTTTTTCAAGGGCTAATGAAATACCCAAAACGATGTCGAAAACCAGTCATCCAATAACCTTTCCAGCAACAAATAATCAAAAAAATGAAAGGAATAAATTTGCCCAAGTACATATATACAATGCCTATTTCAAAATTTGGGAATTAAGTTAGATTGTGTGCCTACACAAGAGAAGAAATGTGGATTAGTCATTGTTGCCGACAGTGGACACCCTACAAATATTAAAAAAAAAAATCGGTATA